GAATACGCGCCGCCGCTGCCTCGCCTAAACCTAATTCTTTCCCCAAACTGAATAACATCCCTAACCCTAAATTATTCTGACCCCCAAACGGGCCTTGCCCATCCTGTATCTCCTAAGGCCCATCTTTTTTATTTGTTTCTAATCCTTTTAAAAAAAAAACATCATTTTCATTTCTAACCAAACATTTTTTAAACACTAACCTTTTTTATATATATTATATAAACATTTTATTTTCTTTACAAAATCATTTTAATGCAAAATACTTTTTTTTTACATTCTTCAATATTTACAATTTAATTAAAACATTTTATATATACTTAACATAATTAACTTGAAAACATTTTTTTAATACACATTGAAATACATTTGTATATAAAATAACAAAATACTTTTTTATACATAATTAACTTGAAAACATTTTTTTAATACACATTAAAATACATTTGTACATACTAAAATAAATATACATTTTCTTGCATAATTTAAATTTCTTGAGACATTTTATACATAATTTAATTAGAAACATGAATATTCTATTAAAAACATTTTCTTTTGTACATAAATTTTGAAAACATTAATTTTGTACATAACACATGGAAATATGTTCTTTTTTTCTTCTCAAAATATCATTTTCACAATTTAATTAAGCTCCTAAACATTTGATTAAAATACTTTTTTTTGTATATAAACAAATAAAGATACATTTCTTAATTAAAACTTGAACATTTAAGTTAAAACATTTTTCTTTTTGTACATATTAAATATACAAATCAAAGGTTCATTAAAATACATATCTAGGTCAAAAACCCTAATACGCTTCAATTTCACATATCGCACCTGTAAATAATTACACATACTCATATACATCTCACACTTACACAATACATTGCCCTATACACATTTGTTTATCTTATATTTGTATATTCGATATTTACATTTGATCGCACATTCGATTTGGTTGTAACTTATTGGATACTATAAGTCTCATCCCCTTTTGTACATTTATACCCCCACTCCCGGACACTATTTTGTAATAGCGTAGATTTTACATTCCGCAATTTACAGTTTTCTAATTATACCATGGTTAGACCTAGGGTTTGTATGTACATAAAATCAAACGCTAGATAACCTAATACAAGATAAATACATGTAATCAATACACAGTCACACTTGCACCCTCTAGGGTAATCCCACATGTTGCCTTCCAAAATGGGCCATGCTTGCACGTCGAGTATCTTTGGCTAAACAAAATCAAATGATCATAAGTCCCTCAAAGTGTTGCCTAAACGGAATGATCATAGTCCCTTCAAAGCAAATTGCCAAAGACACTTGGCACCATTGCATTCATGGTCCATACGATGACCCGCGCCCGTCCCGAATAAAACTTCCTAAACGCAAGATTGTCTACCAATTTCAATGGTAGAACAAAATTGTTAAAAAGGGGTTAAAACATGACAAAAAACCTTTGAGTACAATAGGGTAGACAAAACTCTTAGTTACTTGAGATCAAACTTGCAAAAACACTTGCCTTCTTTTCAAACCACACTTCACAACTACACTTTCAAACAAACTCTCAAAAACATTTGAAAACATCTTTTCGAAAAGATCCACACTTTTGTAAAACACTCAATCACGAGTCAAATACATTAGTTGCCTAAGACAAGGCATCTTTTTCCAAAAACATTTTCAAAAGCACCCACACACACACCATTCTCAAAGCAATCGAAAAACAAGGCAAGTGATCTAAAAAACCAAGTAACTAAGAGCCCATGGATAACCATGGATGAAAAGGGTGCTAATACCTTCCCTTTTCATAATCTACCCCCCGAACCCACGAAATATCTCAAAAGGTTTTTGCTGTGCTTTTTTAACCTTTCCTTTAGGATAAAATAAAAAGTCGGTGGCGACTCTTGCTCAACCGCACAAGTGCGAATACGAACGCAAAACACTAGTCAGTTCTCCCACCGTATCACACTTAACATAGCGCCAAATTGTCTTGAATCAGAATACTAACTACTAACATTAATAATTCTAGTGTGTATACTCGTGCGAGACACTGGACAAAATTTCTTAAATTAAAAAATGTTTTATAATTATTTACAGTTTAAAAATGAAGTATAGTAACATTAATATTATTTGAATAATTTAATATTTTTATTAATTGAAAATAATATTAAATTTTTTACATTAACCTTTAATAACAAAATTAAATAACAAAGGATTATTATGATACTAATAACATTTTATCTCATTTCAAATAATCTATAAATAAAATTCACATAAAAAATAAAAAATGAGTCATAAACAAATTAAATAACATCTAAATATTGAATACAGGACATTTCAAAAAAAAAGTGATCAATAAATAGTCATCCATAGAAAAGAAAATATACATTAATAGTTGTTTTACTATAAAAAATCACAACTTTATCGGTAAACAAAAAAATTTTAAATAGAAATAGTACATTTACATGGAGTTATAATGAAAATTGAATAATAATGTGAGCAAAAAGTATGAAAATTTAAAATTATAAGTCCAACAAATCAAAAGTTCAAGATTATCTCAAATTTCCTCCAAATTCAATAAATCATCATAACTCATTTTTATGGACATCAATTCTCCTGAATTTTTCTCTCTTTTCATTCATCCTTCTTATGAGGTGATTTTTAGCTATTTTTGACTTGAAATCACCCCTCAACACTGTTTTTCTCCATATTTTTATTTAATTAAGTGGTTATTCACATAGATTTGTTTCTTCTTTGTATTTTTAAAGTTTTGCTATTTTGTGCGATGTTTGTTGAATTTTCCGTCTTAATACGGTGTTCGTTAATTCAGATTGACATCTTCACTTTAATTCATTATTAATCTGATGAAGACTTAGGCGTCAATATTGTAGATCCAGAAGTATGAATATTCCAATTACTTTTATTTTGTCATATTTGTAGACATTTTTATGTTGTTGTTGTATGATATTAACTTAGGTGCTGCAAGATTGATTACAGATTCACCTTTTTTAATTTTTAGCAATCTTGAATTTGTAATGATGGATGTATTTTTCAATTTGAATGAATGAATATCTTTTTAGTAAAAAAAATTCTTGATAACGACACTTAAACCTACTTTATTAATTTTTATTTTTCTTTTATTCTGTTTCTATATTAGAGTAACACAAAACTTTTTTTTTTTTTGCAATATTTTACTTTCCAGGAGAAAATTCTACAAAGGAGAAAGGGCGCTCATGAATCTAAAAATCCTCATTATTATTTTGACTTAACTTCACCCTATAAAACCGATTGTAAAGGTGAGGAGCATCACTCTATATAAACTCTTTCAATGTCTAACATTTTTCTTTTTGGGCTTGGTGCGTGGATATTAATGGTGGACGTCCATGGTCTGATCGATAGGCTCTGATACCAACTGTAGGGGCAATTCCGAGGAGAGAGCATTTTACTTGAGACACATCTTTGTGAAAGACACACCACTTGTCCATCTAAAACCTTAAGGTGATAGATGAGTGCGTTCTCTCATATATAAGTGTTCAATCTTCCCTTTTATAATCAATGTGGGACTTCTTCCTTACACTTGATTCTCAACAGGGAATGAGTCTCATTCCTTCAATATTTTTTTTTAATTTAATTTTTAAAAAAACAACAAATAACCTAAAAAGAATTTAATTTTTATTTTATTTTAAAATAATGAAAAATCAACTTAACCAAAAAAAAGGAAACAAACGAAACATCCATAGTAAAAAAAAATTATTTTGACGGACTATTATTAAATTAATAAATATCCACAACTAAATAAAAATAGAATTAAAATAAAATAAAAAACAAACAAAAATTAAATCTACAAAAAATAAAAGAGAGCGCTCCATGACTTCAATTTTTAATTAAGATTTTTAATGTGAATAGTTATTATTCAAATTATTCGGATATTAGTTCCATTATACATGAATGTAAATGTTTACTAATTAACTATTTTACAAACTCTCATGTTAAATTAACTAAAAAATAATCATTAAAATTATTCATACTTTGACACAAACGACTCCATCTTTTGTTAGCTTTCACAATTTCATTAATATATTAATATGTTTTCAAATTCTTATTATTAATGAAATGAATTAAAGAATCTCCTCTAAAAAAAAGTTTAAGTTGGATTGAAAATTAAAATTAAGATAAATGACTAATAGAGTAACTTTGCTAGTAGTTATTTTATTATTTAAAAAATAGCAATAATTGAAATTAGACACTTACTAAACATTAATACCCCACTTATGGAGTAATCAAAAAAAGTAATCCCACTTGTATTATTTTACGTTTTTTTTTTTATGAGCATGTGATTTTACGTTTAACGCCATTGGCTTTCCTCCTTAAAACATTAATACCCCATTTACTTTTGTGAAATAAAGTAGTAAAGTATTTCTTATATCCTAAAATAATTAAGTTAGTAGTCGACTTTACAAAAATTAAAAATAAATGAAAAATAACTTTATTAAAGTATTGATATACCTAAACATCAAAAATTAATTTAAAATTAATTGTTATGATTTTTTAGTCAAGTTTCCTAGTCATCTTAACTCATCCATTAAAGACATGTTAATTTAATTCAATTAATTAACTTAATTAATACTTCCATAAACATATGATAATAGGGTGTGTTGTTTCGAAACCATGACATTTTATTAATTTATCTTTAAAATAAAATTTAAATATTAAATTATTATATTAAAAATTTAAATCAAATTGAACTTTTTATATTTTTAAGTATAATTGTATAAATTAAATTTTCAAACAAAAAGAAAATTATAGTAATAAATAACAAATTTCTCTTTCAAAAAATTAATTTTGATAGTGTAAGAGTAGTACACTAACAAATAGTAGTACTAGAATTTGACGTGACCCTCCAATATAAATATGAGCCTTGTATGTGATGCAAATTCATTCATTGTTTTTTGTGAAGAGACAATTTAAGGTTGTTGGAGCAGCATAAGAAGAAGATGGAGAACCAAAAGACAGAAACTTGGATTGAAAAAGCAAAACCATTCATAGCTGTTTTGTCTTTGCAATTAGGATATGCAGTTATGGATGTTTTATCAAAAGCTGCATTGAATAAAGGAATGAGCAACTATGTTTTTGTTGTCTATCGTCATGCTGTTGCATTTATTGTCATCACCCCTTTTGCACTCTATTTTGAAAAGTATAATCCTTTCTTCCTATCATTTTTTTTAATTTATATTCTAGTTATTTTATTATAATTTGTAAATGAGACTTTAACTATATTGTGTTTTATTTATTTTTAACAGTAAAGTGAGACAGAAAATGACAATTTCAATCTTCATCAAGATAGTGATGCTCGGCTTGCTAGAGTAAATATTTAATTACATATTTTTAATTAAATAAACTGGCTGATCGATTAATCAAACAAATTTTCACTTAATTTACATTAATTTTTCCATTACAGGCCAGTTATAGATCAAAACATGTATTTTTTGGGAATGAAATATACAACAGCAACCTTTGCAGCTGCCATGACCAATATGCTTCCTGCCATTACTTTTATATTGGCTACCATTCTTAGGTAATTGTTTGGTTTTATAGAATTTGCACTCTTTGTACATTATTCTATGCTAAAAATCAATATTACTTTACATTATCATCGAATTTCCGTAAATATATTTCAATAAAACAAATCTTATTTTATATATCTGTGCTTAATTAGGCTAGAGAAGATAAAGATAAAATGTATACGAAGTCAGGCAAAGGTGTTGGGTACCATAGCAACCGTTGCAGGTGCCATGATGATGACGCTAGTTAAAGGCCCAATACTTTTTGAAGCATTTGGAAGCAATAGTGACAATCATGATAGTGGTGATATAACTAGCCAACATGTAATAGCTGGAGGAGTGTTGATCACAATAGGATGCATTTCTTGGGCTTGTTTTTTTAATCTTCAAGTGAGTTATTATTCTAACTCATTCATTCTACAATATTATATAAAAATCTATGGACACGTTTACATTCAAGTGAACTATTACTGTCTTACTTAGGCGATTACCCTTCGAAGCTACCCTGCAACTCTTTCTCTTTCGTCATGGATATGCCTCATGGGCACAATTGAAGGCGCAGCATTGGCTTCGATTATGGAATGGGGTAATCCTTCAGTTTGGTCCATAAAATGGGATATGAGATTGTTATCTACTATCTACGCAGTAAGAAAATTCAGCCATACTACATAAATTTATGTTTGGTAACGCATCAATTTTTATAGGGTGATTAATTTCATTTAAAAAAATTTTTTTTGCACAGGGCATATTTTGCTCGGGTCTAGGTTATTACTTGCAAGGAGTAGTGAATCAAACAAGAGGGCCAGTTTTTGTCACAACATTTAGTCCCTTATGTATGGTTATTGTTGCTATTATGGGATACTTTCTTCTTGCAGAACAAATGTTCCTCGGAAGGTAATCGTAAAAATCAAGTAATATCAACTGAATTGGTTTATCAGGACGAAGAATATTTTTATTTATCAAAATCAATTGATTGAATTCGGTAATATTGCAGGGTGATAGGTGCATTTATAATTTGTTTGGGCTTGTACCTTGTTGTGTGGGGAAAAAACAAAGATTATAATAACACATCAGATACAGTTAATGAAGAGCCTCTTCAAAAAGCTAAGGAGACTGCAGGTGAAAATTGCACTCATGAAGTCATCACTATTCACTAAATTTGAACTGAAATCAACACTATAATGGAACGAGTACATGGATGAGTTAGTAATTATATTGCTCATTTTCAATTATTATTAGCATTCGACCAGCTAGCATCTTCCACGGGTCCATGTATTGGCAAAAGGAAATCCTTAGCGTTTTTTTCTAATTGTTTTTTTTTAAATTTAATTTTTAAGTTGTGATATGCTTGGATAGAGAATTTTAACATGTTATAAGCCATCTCAATAAAAAATGACTTACATGTCTTATGATTCTCATAAATATTTTATATTTCAATTTTAATCTTTTCAAAAACTTTTTTTAAAATTATCCTTTTAAAAATTTGAATATTCATATTTTTGGTCTTTTCTATAATTTAACGACGATTTTTACAACTTAATGATAAAATCAATGATTCTTTCAACTTAGCGACTGAATTAACGATGTTTTTAACGATAATTTTATTAGGAGGAATCAAATTTGTAGATAAAAAATTTTAGAAAAAATTTAAGTTATTTATAGAGACACGAAAATCATATTTACCCTAAAAAAATTATCAAAACTAACCAAATGTGTTTTGAAACTTTGTAGATACTTTATACTAACAATTGCAATATATTAACATGGTGATGTCACATAAGTTTTATATAACTACAAATTTTCAACTTTTCATTCATTTAAGCTCTATATGTGAGTTTAGAGGACAGAAAATGGGAGGGCTTTAAAAAAAATAGGGTATAGGAATATGAAAATCTTTCACAATTTTTTGAGAAAGTGAATTTTTTTTTAATCAAAGAGAATTTTTGTATTAATTCCAAAAATGATATTACAAGGCAATCACACAGATCCAGTCCACCAAAACGATAAAACTATCAAAACGAGAACACATTACATCATCAAATGAGTTATATGTGTTATTAACTTCTCATTATACCATCCTCTATAAACTATTAGATCTATAATACTCACCACTATTTTGTATTATCTATAATGTTACCAAAAAATTTATCAATGTGATACTTCTAAACTCCATAGATAATTTCAGTCGCATCCAATTTCAAGATAGAAGCTTTGTGTCCTTTCCCTTTGTCGTTCCTGACAATCCAATCTAATTCCTCCTGCCACTCTTTTGGGTGATGTTTCACCTAGATCCAGTCTAGAACTTTCATTCAAATGTTGGTTAATTCAGTGCAATTAAAGAACAGGTGGTTGAGAGTCTCTTCTCTAGTACATAAGCAACATGTATTACTTTCCAACAAGCCAAACCACATCAAACGATCTTTAGTAGGAAGTCTGCCATGACAGGCTTGCCAAAGGGTCATAATAGCTCGAGACCTTGCAACATTTTCACATGACAGTCTGTTCCACATAACCTTGTCTAAATATTCACTTCTCATATTCAAATAAATAGTTTTTATACTGAATTTACTCTCGATCTTCATCTGATCCCACTTCCTCTACATACTATTCACATGGGCTCTTTGCTTAAGAATGCTTTTCATGATCCACGACTGATTCAAATTATGTTGGATGTCCATGATTTTGTCTTTTTTAAAATAATAGGTATGCACCCACTTCACCCAAAAGTTTTCTGCTTTATCGTTCCAAATCCAAAGGAGTTTCATCATGGTGATGTTATTCCAAGTGTGAAGATCAATAATGTTCATCCCCCCACACTTTCTAGGGCTACAAATCTTATTCCAAGCAATAAGACTCTTCCTACTCTTTCTAGAACCCCTAATCCAGAGAAATGTTCTACAAATGGTATCAATCTTGTGAATGACATGCTTAGGCAATGGGAAGCATTGCATCTAATAGTTTGCAATAATAAATTATACACTCTTAATGTTTTGCACACGACTTGCATAGCACAACAACTTATTGCTCCAATGATTAATTTTTCCTATTATTTTATCCATAAGGCTAAGATAATGAGGAATAGAAAGATGCTTAATTGGGAATGGCACCCTTAGGTATTTGAAAGGGAGAGGGACTTCCATAAAACTTGTCATCTTTTTGATATCGTCATTTGTATAGTCATCAATACCACATAAGTAAATCTTACACTTACTAGGATTCACCACCAGTCTAGTTGTCTCAAAAAATTTCTTCAGGGCCTTCATCAATAACTTAACTGATCTGAAGTCTCCTCTAGCAAATAAGAGAATATCATCTGCAAAATCCAACTTCGTAATGTAGAGCTTTTCACACTTATCATGGTGGTTAAAATCAAGAATATTTTGCATCTTATGAAGTAGCCTATTCAAGTACTCCATGATGATCACAAACAATAAAGGGGATAGAGAATCCCCTTGCTTAATTCCCCTTCTAGCATGCAACACTTTGGTATAGGTACTGTGATCGGTGGAAATAGAACTGACTGTTTTGAAATGCTGGTTCACGAAATGTCGCGGTAAGCAAGAGTCGCCACCGTCTTTTATGTTCTCCAACAAGGAAAGGACAAAAGCACAACAAAATTCCTTTTCGAGATGTTTCTCGGTTCGAGAGGTAGATTTATAGAAAGGGAAGGTGTTAGCACCCTTTCTATCTGTGGTTATCCACGGGCTCTTAGGTACTTGCTCACTATATTTTCAAAAAGATTTTGCTTTTCTTGTGTTTGTGGGTTTTGAAAAAAGTTTTGTTTGAAAACTTCGATTTAACTCTTGTATCTGTCCTCAAGAGTGTATGAAGTGTTGTTTGAAAACTTTGTTCGAAAAAGTGTAAGTGCAAAAATTTGTTTTGTTTTTGAAAGAGCAAGTACCTGAGAACCTCTACCTACTCAAAAGAAATTAAGCTGTGTAAATGTCCTTTAGACAGTACTATCCCACTATTGAGAAGTAGGTAGCACCGTCGTTGGAGTTTTTTCGGGTCAATTCGATTATGGGACATGTGGTCACTAAAGCAATGGTAGGACGCCTTAGTGGTAACCCTAATGTCCTAGATCCTTTTTATCCGAGGAAACCGTTTCGAGGCAACTTTGATCTTTAGACAGGAGGGCGACCTCTAAAACACCCTATACTCAATGACCACCTCGAGACAACCAAATGAGGCGTACCCTAGGAGTGGCATGTGCACGTGTGTCAGGTTCAATTTATTTTATCTTTGAACATGCATCATTGTGAGCTACGAGTTGATTTTATTTTTCAGACAAGTCTTGCATGCATAATTAACAGTTAATAATTGTGCGGAAAATAAATTGCGGAAAGTGAATCTACGCTATTACAAGGCGCGGGTATATACATCGCCAAAAACATAACCCTTTGGAAATAAATTGCGAGAAAATAAAGAAAGCGATAAAAGTCCTAATTATCTATTACATTCTCGGAGCAGATACATAAATATAATCAAAATAATGAATTAAAATAAATATGCGCGTGAAAGAATTGAATCGGGACGTCCTTAGGGTTTTGACCCTTTTTGAGAAAAGAAAGAAGTTTGGTCCTTTTTTGCAATTAATTCAAATTAAACCTAATTTGCTAATTAGTTAATTAATTAAAAGAAAAAAAGAAAAGTATTTTTTGGTTTTTGAATGTTTTTAATAAAAATAAAAATAAATTAAAAGTCAAAAGTTAGTAAAAACCTAAGTCTAATTTATTTTACTTATTATGAAAAATAGTCAAAATTAACCTAATTAAACTAAATCAATTTGGTTAGTGTTTATTTATAAAATAATTAAAATTAATAAATAAGAATAATAATAATAATTAATAAAAATATTTACATTTTAATGGTCTGAATTTATTATGAAAATTAATTTGTTAGTTAATAATAATAATAATAATAATCAATAAAAGAAATTATAAGGAAAAGAAAATAAAAAGTAGTAATAAAACCAGGGGGTGATGGGCCCTTAGGAGGTGTTTAGAAATCTGAGGCCCATTAATCAGCAAGCCTGTTTGACTTTTTGGAATTGTCCACACTGGCTTTGACTGGGAACATGGTGTTCAGCACCTTATGGCCATTAAATCAACGCTTGAGGACACATGGCGCCTTGGTATCTGATATGCATGGTAGACTCCTTGGCAAGCGCTGCATATGAACATATTAAGCAAAATAATACAAATGTTTTGGGTGGACCTGGGAATCGAACCCAGGTCCCAATGGTTACCAGCCACATCATCTTCCACTAGGCCATCTGAACGCATTTATTAGTATAATAATAAACAATGATAATATGTGAAAACCAACGCATATACTGTAAACAAAGCACACGCGCCTTTTTATTTGAATGGACCAATCATGCGCTTACACCTATTGTCTTCTTCGCTGAATACCTGCAAAAACAAATCAAATAGCGGGGGTTTTTAACCCCCACAATATGGAACGACCAAAAATAGCGAATAAAGCTATGCTCTATATAAATAGGGCGCGATGGTTGGGTTCAATTCGTCTTGTCTCCACAAATTCAACCACGTGCATTAGGGGGTTCAATTTTACTGGATGTGGAAAGCCCCAATATCAAAGCTTCGGAACCCTAAAATTCTCCAATGGCAACTTTCGATTCACTGCATAATAACTCAATTAACCTGTGCCAAAAGCTTCCTGTGGATTCAAGCAATGCAAAACACACAAAAAATCTCATTAATGATGCATGAATTACGAGTTTCGATTATGAGAAAGAAAGTTAAACTGTGTGACTGGGTAGAGCGATTTCTTGAGTTCTAGCGTATGATTTTGATTGCAAAATGTTACTGAGAGTTCCTGCAATGTGTTTGAATCACTGAAACGCCTTGAATTGGCTTGGAAGATAGCAAACAGTTTTAACTTTTTCCTTGGATTTTTTGAATGTGATTATGGCTTTCTTGCAGGGTTTTCACGTGTGTGGCATTAGGGTTAGGTTCTGTATATATAATGGACTGAATTAGGTTACAATCTTTGACCAAAAATCCATTGCATTATGGTTTCAATATTTGATTGGAAATCAAATAATTTTCAATCTTTGGCAAAACAAAATCAAATGATCATAAGTCCCTCGATGACGCTTTCGAATGTTGCCTAAAACGGAATGATCATAGTC